CTGTCTCGGGATGATTAATGCCTGTCGGGCTCTCTGCTGGCCTTGTCAACACCTCCCAAATACACATCGCTGCAGAAGGTGATTGCACGTGGTCTTTATACGTGCCTTCACTTCAACGGACTCTCCTCTCATTGCCTTCAAGCTTCCTGCGGCTGAATCGCAGAATGGTTTCCCAGAAAAACCTCTATCGCTATTTATAATCCAAACCCAGGGGCCGCTCCTCAGGTGCACGCCGTGCGGAGGACAGCCTCACCCGTCCTACACGCGCCACCCGGTACGAAGGGGCAGCGGATGACAAATGCCTGCCCTTGGACCCCAGCGACGTGACCTGCTTTGTGACTTGCCAGAAACCTGATGCCAGAATAGCTTTACCTTGCACGGGTGCGGGTCAACCCCGTAGGTCTCCAGCGTCTGGGCTTTGCGCAAGAAGTTTAACTCTGAAGTAGCCGGCGTCTGACCGCTGCAAGAAAGGAAAAGGCTGTGAGCGTCTCCATCAGCAGTGCCATGCGTCCACTAGGGCAGAGTTCTTGCACGGTGATTAGCACCGCCAATTAGGATCTTACGTCTGCCCTTCCCGACCTGCCGGAGAAGAGGGGTTAGCAGCACGGCAGAGGAAGGGGAGAGAGGGGCACCTGCCAGGCTCGGGGCTGCCCTGAATGTACGCAGCCCGGGCTGGGGTGGGCTCTGCGCGCAGCATCCCATTTTATGGGTTTTGGGCGTCTTTAAATCACATCGCATCAAAGGACAAAGCCTGCGACCGTATGCCCGATGGCTTAAAAACAAGTGCACGCCTCGCTGCTAGGAAAACGTGACATCTGCTGGAAGCAGCAACGATTCATCATCTCCCGACCCTGGCCTGTCCAAACCTCCTTGCAGGAGTGCTGGGCGATGAGCTTTGCTATCGCGGTTTCACAGAGCCCTCGCTCCCGGATCCTGATCCCCCCGGGGAGCTCGCACGCTGCATCGCCCGGTTCACCTTCGCACGGCTTTCTGCACGGGCTTCACGCCGAACGGACGGAGGGCTGCCGAGCGCCGTGGGC